GAAGGCTGCGCTGGTTTTCAGCCTCCCCTTAACTACTACATGATATGACACAGAGGGCAGTTGAGATATAAGCCATCATTGCACTCATATGTGTGTCTGTGTGTATTTGTGTATAGTTGTATTGTGTTGTAAATACAAATATAAATTAGTAGCTTTCGCCCGCGACTCCGTTCGCATGATATTAAAAAACAAAAGTGAGTAGCCTATGTGTTCTTCTAGATAATCCTATACATCAATACCAAATTTCATCGAAATCTGTTCAGCCGTTTAGGCAACAATCTCTAACAAACATCTATTCAAACTTTCCCATTTATAATACTAGTATGATAGCTGTTGCTCGCGACTTCGCCCGCGTAAATAAAAAACATAACCTATACTCAGTGATAACGTAACTTTTTTATGGCGAAAGAATTTTTGGTATCGGCCCAGTAGTTTTTGAATTATTTCAATACATAAAAAAATCCAAAACTACCCACTTTATACTCGTATATAATATTAGTACTGATTAGTATTGGTAATAGATACTTACTTGGAATTCTATTAAGTTCTCTATGTGAGCTGTACTGCCTTAACTTCGATGTCGGTAGGTTTGCTCGCTTCGGTACACACGTGGGAGGTGCCATCGAACTATATGGTCCTGGAATTGAAAACAAAGACATATTAAAGAAACATAGAAATATTACGAAAACGACGACCTTAGTAGTAATTTTTAGTTATTTCAATATATACAAAAATATAAATCTTTCCTCTTTATAATAATAAGCTGTTCTCGTGCGACTCCATCCGCATAAAATTATGAAAATTCTATTTTATTGTTTACGTGTGTCAAGTTATCAATAGCAAATGTCAAAATAACATGACAATGACAAACTATGGCATGCTTGCTTCCTTAATGTTGGCAGCTTGTAGTTTATGGTCCCTTTCCCACATGATGGTTTTTTTCCAATTTATTTACCCTTTAAGTTTAATAGCGTAAAAATATATAGCCTAAAGCGTGACGTAAGTGTAGGGCTTTTCATTAAAGAAAAAAATATTCAAAAATATACTGTGATTGCTGACATCTTACGCCACAAAGTAGTGTGTGTTTACATTAGTATAGATAGACGAACTCACCACTACTAGTAGGTGAAATCCTACTAGGTGATTTAATCATAGTTGTAGGGGGTGTTATCTTCTCCGAGGTCACATTAACCAAATCCCTCCTTGGAGTGTTAACCGCCGCCTTCGCTTCATTCAATATCACCGTTGTGTTAACATCATAAGTTTGTTCCATCTCCGTGCTATGTGCTTTAGCTAGTACAAAAGATTTATCTTGCATCGCAAATATTGGAGATATCGTTGTTTGTAATAATTCATTTTTGGGTGCTTTCTTCGAAACTAACGGTGTTGATGCGACCTCGCAAGCTGGAATTTTAAAAAATAGTAAATGAAATTTTCAATTTCGTTGAATTTTTTGTCCCGGAGGGTCGACACAGCGTGTGCTGCTCTTCCATACATTTCTGTCATCCGTCATATCTGAATCCACTCTTTTAAATATATCCTCTTTCACACAATCCATACATACTTTCTTCGGTCTTCCTCTTTGTAGCCATCCACATTCAATCATAACACTTTCTGGTTTGTTCCGTAACCTCTTGTCACATATACACACTAAACTTCTGCTTCTTAATTATACTGAATCATCAAATCTGTATTAAAAAACCGTTTAAGTGAAGATTAATCGACTCTGAGTGCGACTAATACTTACTATAATGTATGTGTCTTCCAGTATCAGGAACGCTCTCCGGAGGGCTGGAGGAACTAAAAGTCCCCGTGTCAGTGCTCTCGCTAGACCCCACCATTGCTGTTTCTTGGGACCCCCACTCCTGGAACATAAGTAATTATACGTACTGATAAGGCCCTTTAAAGTTTGAATCTTTTAATACTTGTAATAATCTTTTATATAGTTATGGACCTGAATGTTGGGATACCAAAGTTGCATATGAAATTGCTTGTGGCTAAGATGGGTTTGTAAAGATGGATGTTTGTGACAAGAAGGGATAAAGTTAAGAATGTGTATAGAGGAAGTTTGAAAGTAGCGCCAGTGGTCGAGAAATTGAGAAGCAAAAGGTTAGCGTGGTAGGGACATATGCAAGGACATATCAAGAAAGTGTTAGGATTTATCGTAGGTGACTTCAAAGAAAGGCCGAAGAAAGTCTGGATGAATTGTGTGGAAGAGGGTATGCTTAAGAAGCGAGTGAACTCAGATATGACAGCCGAAAGAGTTGTATGGAAGAGCACATTATGTTCCAATCTGTAGGAATAAGGGCACTTTGATGATGATTTTATACTTACTTCTGGTTGTAAAGTATTTTGTCCGGCGCCAATAAGACTCATAGTTGCAGAATTTATATCGATTATTTTATCATCATCCGATTTAACGTAAACTACTGTTGCGCTTTGCCGTGGTGAAACTTTTCTAAACGTTGCATTCCTTTTGGGTGTCTCCCTCGCCGGTTCTTCGTTTGTATGATTGGTCAAATTCTGTGATCTTCTTTTCATCAATTCAGAGACACTTTCGACGCTCTGTCGTGGCACTGTGATTGTTTGGTTAGGTAATTGTATTTTCACAGCTGTAGGGTCCACTTGGTTTGGTAAAGGTTTGTCAGGTTCAATCGGCAAACCTCTTCTAGCTAACGAAAGTTTCTGACGCGCCTGTTTGATTTCGTTCAACTCTTGTTTATCGCACGTTACATTCAAACTGTTTTTAACTAAATCTGCTACTTTTTGTAAGCCATTATCTCTGTAAAAAGCGTCATCCGTTTCAAATGTTTCGTTCAGATTTTCTTTCTCTGCGTCCTTATTCTTGTATTTGTTGTTTGAGAAATGTAGCGTTATTGTTTCGCTCATATCATTAGATTTTGATATTTTCGTTGTATCTTTATTATCTGAATTTTCATTCAGTACTTTATTAATTTGGTCTATTTGACAAGCTTCTTCTCTAGATTTGGTGTAACTTTCTGTATTCCGTATGCCTGATTCTCGTTTCGTGTAACTATTGTATAGTTGACATCTAGGACGTGCTGATAGAAGTCTTTCGGATTGTTCTAGATGAGTGAAGGTTGCCGAACTGAATATATTAGAATCCGTACCTTCGATTTTAGGCTTTGTATTAACAACGTAAGAGGAGTTAACAGAGCTAACTAAACTGGGCGGTAAAGAGTCTATAAGACTCTCATTATCAGGGAAGGTTGTCTGCGAGAAGAAACTGGTATTCATATCTTTATCGTCTAATATGCTAAGGGACATACTTGTCATCATTGGATCGATGCTTTCACGACCTGATGTTATTGGTAAACCTGTTACAAATAAAAGTGGCCATCATTGTGAAAAATTACAATCGAATTTCATTTGTATATCTAAGAGCGTAAAGCTTAAAATTACCTGCATCTTTATAAGAGGCAATTGATTTCCTGCTATCTAAAGACTCGGCGTTGAAGGTGCCTGAACTCTCCATGAGTAGTGAAGACACGAGGCTCGGAGGCGACATCCTGGTCAGTGATTCCCCGCTTTGGTACATATTTAGGCTACCACGTTCGTTCAATATGTTTGTCAAACCCCTGGAACAAAAAAATGTTCTCATACCATTACTATACAAATAGGGTTGACACAAATCTATCTTTTATTCATCATAGAATGATGTAATCGATATTAAATCGTTTTTGCAACTTTATCGAATATAAGAATCTAATAACTTCATCCAACTAGGACGTAATGACTTCATAGATTTTAATGAAAGTATCGAGAATATTACAGCTATATCGCAACTCTCTGAAGACATAAATTACATTTAATCTAAGGCTTAGATTCTAAGCTATTGCGTATGACTAGTTAGTTAGTTGAACATTTATTTCATACTTTATATTTTAAACGCTTCATAGCCTACGTTGAAAGATTAACAAAATTAAGATCTAAGGAATACTAATTTTAAAAATACATATTGACTTAAGATACTCTTTTTACGTGATAGTAAATTATTAACATTTTGATTGCATCAAAATATCTAATAATTGAATAATATCTATACTATTATAATAAAGTTTAAACACACACTTGTTTGTTGCCAGCAATTACAGCATATTTTTGAATAAATCTTTTTTAATACAAACCCCTACACTTACGTCACGCTTTAGGCTATATATTTTCACGCCATTAAATTTAGGGGGTAAATGTTTTGGATAAAAACTTTAATGTGGGAAAGAGACCATAAGTTGCTACCAACATCAAAAAAGAATGATTGCCAAGGTTTGTCATGTCATGCCATTTTGACATTTGCTATTGATAATTTGACAAATGTAAACAACAAAATACAATATTCATAATTTGATGCAGATGAAGCCGCACGGGAACAGCTAGTAAATAATAAAACAAATGGGATTAAGAAAGCTATACATCGCTATCTAATCGAGTAATCGTCTTACAAAAAAAATCCATCAGTTTCTTTCCGTGCGATTCACTTTCACGGTGTTCCGTTTGTCATGTCGAGCCATTCTCACGAACATCGATTACGTCTACACTCTACGAGTACTCTAAATGAACACTTAAATTAGGTAAACCGTATTAAACAAACTGATTACTTTTTTTTTCTTCACAAATTTTACCTGTAATATACAATATCACTTTACTTTATCTAAAGACTAGCTTTCGCCCGCTACTTTGTCCGCGTGGAATGTTAAAAAACTCAAAAGATAAGCCTATATGTTCTTCTAGACTATCATCTACTTGTATGCCAAATTTCATCAAGAGTCTTTCTGCAGTTACGGTTGCAAACTCTAACAAACATTCATCCATATAAACCTTCGCATTTATAACTAGCTTTCACCCGCGACTCCGTCTGCGAGGTATTAAAAAAACAAAAGTGAGTAGTCTATGTGCTCTTTCAGACCATCCTCTACGTCTATATCACATTTCAGCGAAATCCGTCCAGCCGTTTAGGCTACAAACTCTAACAAACATTTCTCCATCTAAACTTTCGCATTTATAATATTAAAAGTAAGATGTATAATACTATCTCCATTGAAGGTTTTAAAATTCTCTGTACATTGATGAAGCCAAAGTAATTAAGCAGTAACTGAATAAAACAAGTTATAGATAATAATTCCAGAAGTAACTAGTTGTATAGAAATAAACTAACATTTCCTATATAAATTTCAGAAATTCACAATTTTGTAACATTTTAAATTGAAAGTTTATCTATACTATTATAATAAAGCGTAAACACACACTTCTTTGTAGCCTAAGATGTCAGCATTTACAGCATATTTTTGAATAATTATTTTTTTAATAAAAAGCCCTACACTTACGTCATGCTTTAGGCTATATATTTTCACGCCATTAAACTTAGGGTGTAAATATTTTGGATAAAAACCCTAATGTTGGAAAGAGACCATAAATTGCTGCCAACATCAAGAAAGATAGATTGCTAAGGTTTGTCATGTTATGTCATTTTGACATTTGCTATTGATAATTTGACAAACATAAATAATAAAATAAAATTTTCATAATTACTTGCGGATGAAGCCGCACCGTAACAACTAGTTCCATATAAGTTACATGGACCTGTTCCTTTTACATTGGTTCTAGGAAAAATCATTATAACATGAACATAATATCTTTTGTTAACTGTAAAGAAAAAGCCTTTCCATAATTCACACAGAACTAAAAGCATACAATTACGAAGAATATAAAATAGGTCAAAGCATTGTGCAGTTTTTCATAATGTCCTGCAGCTTGTGTTTAAAAAATGCCTTTACCCTACATATAATAATGGAAAGAAAAATTGCAGCTCTTTTAAAATACTTCTAATGAACCTTTTTTATAAGAACAAACATTATAGTGAAGTGTTTAACTTTAAGTTAGGGTTCATTAAGTTGGATATAATCTTACTCTCACTAATATTATAAATGCGAAAGTTTAGATGGATGGATGGATGGATGGATGGATGGATGGATGTTTGTTAGAGATTGT